CCTAGAGGTGAGAGGTAAGACTTAAGGGTAACAACTCTACTCACAACTAGTGATACCTAGTCCAGGAATCAAACCCAAGACCCTAGAGGTGAGAGATGGCTGCACTACTGATGGCTGTTAAGAAGAGTTGATTACTATGTAATGATTAGTAAATTACATGAAAAAAGGAATAGAATACAAAGTTCATCTTAAAGAGGCTGGAAAGTGTTTTGTGCCTTCACATTATGAACTAAGAAAAATTAGTATTCAATTATTAAAAATTCTGTAAAATTTATTTGGAATAGTTCCCTCTTACAGAATTTTTCCTTTTTTTGTCAAAAAGAAGATTACGATACAAAGTTTAAATATTCTGGTTTTTAAAAAATTTCACCATTTGGTTCCTGAGTTATGATTTTTTAAATAAACATTTTTGATGGCATACCAAGGGTTCTGGTGGTGTCATAGCAACGTCTTACGTCATTTTTTCATGTTCATTGTGATCTTTGGTTTATGGTCTTTGGCTTTCCGGGTTTACTTGCTGTCATATTATAGCCATAATAATTTTTTTTAGTTCATAATGTGAATGCACAAAACACTTTCCAGCCTCCTTAATTTGACTTGTTGACTCTGGTAATAGCTAAAAAAGCATTATAAAAAGTAAAGTACCCATATTTAACTTTGGATGTTCCTTCAGTTGAAATCCAACTGCTATCAATGGAAGCTGATGGTGGGCACTTTATTCCCCTCTCTCCATCAGTGCTCTGTTTTAAGAGTACTCAAAGCTGAAGCTACACGGATTAGAGAGAAGTCAAAACAGATTTGGAGTAGATCCCGAGGATCAAATATTGCACCTCTAGCTCTGAAAGGCTGTGCACAAGCCAACTGAGCTACGCCTGCTCCTAACCAATAACCTGTACCAATGTTTTAGTCTGATTTGACAGACCTTCTTCAATGTAAATAAAGGCATAATTAGTATAATTATTGTATTGCATGCCCATCCTCAATCTCGTTCTTTTCACACACTTTTAAAAATTTAAAACGTTTTCCAATAGCATTAATATTGTTAGTATTGATTCAATTTTTTCTTTTTCAGTTGTAACCGGAGAAGAAGTTGAAGCTCTTTCAAGTTTACTGATTGAATATGGAGCACGTTGTGACATTGCTGATCAGAGTGATTGCTCAGCCATCGACTGCCTTGAAGCATTGCTACAGCGCTATCACAGTACTTCAAATATGGAAAAATATGCTAGATACAAAAAGTTATTAGAGTATATATGGAAAATTCATGGTAGGTTTAATTAATTAATTGATGATTTACGAATGAAATAGTTTATGAATTAATTTTATGTGTGAACCAGAAATTATCCATACCCCCTCCCCCCCATCCCCCACGGATGATTTTTTAAAAAGACCCCCCCCCCTTCAATTTTCCATTTTTAATTTTCTTCCATACAAACTCTGTAATTTTGTTTTTTTCTCTGCTTTGCTCAACCCACAGGTCAGCCTAAAACACTTATGCAGATGTGTCGAGTCAGTCTTCGCAAGTATCTGTCTCCCAACAGCTTGTATATAGTGACTGAGCTGGATATACCGCAGTGTCTAAAGAACTATATTTTACATGTGGTGGAGGACAAAGGGTGTATATCATGATTACAATCTTTGAGTGTATTAATTATTTATTTTTGAAAAAAGTAGTGTTTTATTGTTTCAGATTTTATTCAATTTTGAATGGGTATCAAAATAGTACAGGGTGTCTTCCATTGCACATTACGTTTAGAAAATGTAGCAGATTTGTTTTTTATGATTGTACTGTCAGTAAGAGTCATGCAATTTGTTATGTCTTGAAAGGTTTTTAATGAATGCTCATTAAGAACAGGTTTTACAAGAACGACAAACTGTCCTAGTGCTATCCCTAAAAGTTCTCAAAGCAAACGTGTCTGACGTCACAGATAAAGTCCCATATGTGACAACTGGAAGTGGCTGTTCCTAGGCAGGTTCTAGTCTAATAATTATATAACACAATTTTAAGAAAATCATATGGTTTTGAGTGCAATTTAAAAAAAATTCAACAGTGAGTTTTTAGACTTCAAAATTACACAAGCCATAGACATATGGCCATGTGAGCTCTAAGAAAATCCATAGCTCAAAATTTATTCTAAATTGCACCAAAAAAGCATACGAGAGATAAATGGAGTACTTTCTGAAAGGAAGAGAAAAACTCTCAAAAAAAAAACTATTAGAATAAGTGCATGTTGAAGATGTTATGATAGCATCTAGTAAATCATGCTTTTCAACCAAAAAATTATTCAAAAACGCAACAAAATTCTCACCTTTTCTTTATCATAATCATACCTTTATCACCATAGAATACAACGTTTTGATGCTTAGCAATGTTAGCAACAGAAGAATTGAGAAAAGTTTGACCTTAATACGTTTCAAACTAAAATTTGCACTGTATTCCGTCTTTTTTATTGCATTGCRATTTCGATGAAACAGCACTCCGTTTCAGCACTTCTATTCTTGTATGACAACCTTCTTGCAAGTAGGTGTATATGAAGATAAAAGTATATTAATAATTTTTATAAATATAAAATAAAATAAACTTGAATGTTGGTGGTTACAATTTAGAACAACAGTTATGGTTTTTGATATGATTCAGTCAAATAGCAAGAGAAAACTATTCTGCCAGTGATAGAGTAGATTGATTTCAGGACTTTTTATCAGGCAGAGAATGATCTTATGAGAATGATCTTATGAGAGAGAAAGACTAAATAGGACAAGTATAATTATACACTGTAATTTAAGCTAAGCAGGATAGTAGCACTCACAAAGGACATTTTAAAGATAGGTCAGTTAATCACTTGATCATCTTTCATTTCAGCTGGCGTGCTATATCACACTGAAAAATTAATATCTTATCATACAATATACATACTCAATACTGTGATTCATTCCATGCGCATGTAGTGGGACATCTGCTTGGGACATCTAAGAGTAGTGAGTGAATATTAATAATATTTATTTAAAGCGAAGAGTAAGACTTGGTCAAACCTCTTTATTTGTTGAATTACTTTAAAATTAAAAGTTAAATAATTTTTTAACTACCTAATTTGACGATTCAAATCGTTAAGACAATTTGTAAAACCTCTCTGATAAAAGATAATAAAAATCCTAAAAAAATGTTCCCCAGTGTAAAATACATTTCAACGTTAGTCACTCCTGCCTCGGTGCTGCATTGTAAAAAACTGCTTGTAATTATTTAAAAAACTCAGCATTTGAAATGCATATATGCGCATACTACATGAAGTATAGAAAAATTCCCTACAGCAGAAAGAAATCAACAAATGATGTCCAATAGCAATAACTTCTTGTTTATTGTCAGGAAACTTTGACAAAATGTTCAAATTTGGAACTTGGAAAGCAGGTTTTAAAAACCTATAAATCGTCCACTGGGCACATCCCCTCATCAATGTCATAAACCCTTCTAAGATAGCCAAACATGCAATAGGCCCTTTTTGCAGTTAACGGTCATGTGTCTGTACTGGAGGGCAAAATTTTTGTTTTTATATTAAATTTGGGATTCTTTTTAGCTATACTTGTAAAGAACTGAATGAAACGATGTGTAACCAGTGTGTAACGAAATGCAGTTTTATTACGATCTCTCGAAAGAGGTTGTAGAATGTTTGTTTGCTCTCCAGTCAATTTCACCCATTGGAATCAAGATGTTCATTTATTTGCTCGCAGTGAATTAATCAGCACGTGATTACTGAGCTGCAAAGGGCCTATTTTTAGTCTCTATCTTTGTTACCCACACCTATATTTACTGATCATGACAAATCGATTGCACCCAAGATAGACCACAATGAACCATATGCAATGCTTCTTCTAGCTACTGGGCCCGGTTTTACCAAGGGTGGACAGCACCATCTGATGGATAAATCTTATCCAGTGGATAAACTTATTGGATAACAGCATTGACTTATCCACTGAGTAACTTAAGAGTGACTTTCTGTAATTTACAACCTAATAAGGATTTATCTATGGGATAGCGCTATCCACCCCACCCATACAACCAGACCCAGGGCCCGATAGCACTATCTGGCAGATAATTCCTATTCAGTGGATAAAACTACTGCATAGAGGCATTGACTTATCCACTGAGTAAGAGTGACCATATATTGCATTCTTTGGTCCAAAAGATAATAAAATGTTCTGCCTTAACCCCCTGTAGCAGGTCATATGTTGAAATTATTTCATAAAAGATACCCTTGGAGATTTCTAACATCCATTTTTTCATGGCTTGCCTTCTGTCTTGCACCGCTTTCTCCTTTTTGCAACCCTTGTTTTTTTTTAATTTAAATTTTTTATATTGTGTAGTTCCAAAAATTAACCATACCCCCCTCATGGAGGAATTTTTTTAAGACATCCCCCTACTCCCCGGAAATTCCAATTTTCTTCCATACAAACTCTGTAATTTTTGTTCTTTCTCTGATCCCCCTGCTTTTCGGAAATTCCAAATTCCTCTGTGGGGTGGGTATGGATGATTTCTCAAACTACGCATTTTATCTTCTTCACAACATGATTATCGTTGTGTGTGGTCCTGCTTGCAACACATCTCTCTAAAAAGCCTTTACAGTACTTCAAGGCATAAAATCTATTTAAATTTTTTTTCCATACAAAAATTGATTTCAGGTCAAATTGACCTTGTTCCTTTTTTAAAACCAATTAAAATCCCAATCCTCTTCTAAAAACTAAATGTTACTATACCTTAGCATTTAATAACAGTACTTAAAACAATGGCTAGTCATCAGACCATGTCCAGCAAGAATTGGAGCATGTCAAATCTTTGCCTTGCTGGTCATTTTGACCTGGGATGTAATGTTGAGCCAGAAACAAGGTATGACAGAACTAAAACTAATTTGGGCAGTGATCATAGTTTACTGGAACTGACTGACCATTATCTTAAGGCCTTGATTTAATCATCAATTATAACTAAACCTACATGGGTAATCCTTACAAACTTTCTTTAAAAGTAGAGTACTATAGTCTTACAATATTTTGTACACCTTTTGTCATAAATATTTAAGTCTAATATATATAAATATAAATAACTAGTAAGTATAAATAAAATTTGTGGCTAAAATTTATCTATAATAATATAGGGTAAATAAGGTTACCCTGCCTGCAGTGGTACATTTAGTTGTAGCAAACATCAAATGGACCTTTTTCATGTGGCAGCCATGTTGACTAGAACAATAGATCCCCCTCCCCCCCCCCCTCCTCGTAGCCTTGCATTCAAGCACTTCAGAATGAGGTTACACGGGGTTAAACAAAGGTTTTGATTCTCATAGGAATAAACTTGGCACCATGTGATCAAGGTCCATAGCAATTAGACGCAAGGTGTGAACAGGTTAATCCGCAACATTTGAAACCAATTTACAATCAATCAAATAAATCATTAGAATATGCAAAGGTACATGAGAACGGCAGGCCTGAGGGGGGGGGGGGGGGTAAAAATTCGTAATTTGGTATCTTTAGGGTGTTAAATGCGAATTTTTGAAAAAAAGCATTTTCTGGTATCTCTTTGGGTGTCGGAAAAGGAGAGAAGCGCGCATCGATATGGCTTATCCTAGGCTCTTTTTATAGGCCAGATGCCTAGTATAAGAAGAATAATTACTACTCGAGGAAACTTATTATTTGTTGTGGTATCTCTTAGGGGTTAAAAGTCATTCAGCCACGCTTTTTTTAAGACTTCCAGTATCTTTTAGGGGTCTTTTTGAAAATTTCCGTCGAGCATCCCCGGTACTTTTTTCCCGGAGTCCCCCCTGGACTGGAGGAAGGTACGTACATGTAGGAATGGTTTATTTGATTGACAGTATGTATTGCTGAATAATCTGTCGTTAGCTTTTTCTTGATCCATATAAATTAAAACAGTGTTTAGTTGTTAAACTTAAGTTTCAATAAAATCTGGTGTCTCAATCCATATCCTCTTCATCTTTCACTGGGATTTCAGCTCGGCAGTTTCCATGATAAACATGAATAGGTTGACTGCAATTATTGTACAAGTCAAAGATTTCATTGTATCCATTCTCCTTCCAGAACAAACACAATTGTCGGTTCCATGAACATGGTAAAATGTAAAACAACTCCGGATACTCAAAACTTAAAAGTGTAAAAAAATCCTGGTCACCAAGGTGCCCTTGGAATTGATACTTATCTGTTAGTTCCTTGATGTGTTTACTGTTTAGAACATTATTGTATGTGGCTGACTTGCGCATTTGCTCCAAGTTTAAAAGCACTACTCCACTATTAAAACCTGTTATTCCGTTTGGAGGCGGTTCTCCTAGTAATGTATCCTTATGTGTCTGTCTGTACCTATAGAGAATGTGATGATACACTGGAGACTGTTCCCGAGCAAGGCCCATAATGGTGGACTCTTTGAAGTTCTTGAACATGTCAAACAGAAGCTTGATGTCACTAAAGAATCTGTTTAACAAAGAAAGATAATAATACTTCTTATTCGAATGTGAAAAGGACTTCAACATCATCATTATATTATCCTGGTATCTGCCCCCAGCCATGTATGCCATGACGCCCCCAGTTTGTACTACTATTATCCTCACCATTGCCAACAACATCATCATCAACATCACCATCATTTATAGTATAATCATTTCTGACATATTGAACATGGCACATTGTACAAAATTTTCTTGCTGCAAAAAATAAGGAGCTTATGCAACAACAAAAATGTCTGGGGAGGGGGGTAGGGTACTCATTTATAGACTATATGGGGATGATCTGCTGAACAGGGCATGTTTTTTTGAGCTTCTTGTCATTAACAGGGTATGCAATTTCACTCAAGTTCCAAGTTCTTCCTGAATTTCATGGCATATTCAGGGTTTCTACTTTCGTATTGACCGAAACTGGTTATTATGGTCATAAAAAACGATACGCAAGATGACATGATAATTGAAACAGGAACTCAGTGCAATAAATTATATCTTTTGTCATAAACAAGGTCTCCAAATTTGAGTTTTTTTGTCATAAACAGGGTACCCCTTTCAGAATCCCAACGGAACACCCCTACCCAAATTCTGGTGGACCACCCCTCCCCCCTGGCAAAAATGCTGTGCAAAAGGGCTGTAATAACAGCAACATTCATTTTGCAACCTGAAAGATAACAATGTTTCATGACCGTGCCACCAATATTTATCATAGCATACTGCACAGGGAGCCCGGCTTTGGGATTAGTACATGAATAAATGAATCAATAAAGTGCTTTGGGTTTCCTGCGTTGAGATTTGAAACAAGGTGCTGATACATTGAATTTCCAGTAATCGTACTACCAGTAACTTGATAGCAGATTAACATAACGTATCAGTGTAACGCACGCCCTAGTAAATGGTAAGAAAGAGAGAAGGGCTGAAACTAATTTGAGTACCTATTTTGAAACCACCGTTAAAATAATTCGCCATGGTTAATTACCAGAAAATACAGCACCAAACGATCACATGACAAATAAACTTAACGACAGCATGTCTTATTTATAGGGAATATTAATCTGTGACACACAAAACAATGATATTTGTAAGTCATACTTTAAATGTATGTGGACCAGTGGTTGATGGGACCAGTTAGCTCTACAACCGTGACCTCTCTGGTAAATATCCGTTTTCAAACAATAGACTTTGACAGATTCATGACAGTTTCATTGAAATGCAGCATTCGATTTTTATTGTCCTTTATATTATACATAGGTTTGTTTTTCGCCTCGCTCTAAACGAACTTTCTGGCGTACCACAGAGGGGAAATGTCCTGTTCGTCCTTTTTCTTTATCAGGAACTCCATTTTCTTTCCCCAGAACTTTGCAGAACATTTCATTTAACCTTGATAGTGGAACCTGGGATTCCGCTCCAGATACAGAAACGTTTTTCAAAAGCCTGAAGAAAAAAAAAATGAGATTTTAGATCCTGACGATGAAATCAACGGTCAAATATTTTGAAAAATATACCTTACTCACCATAACATAAAGTATTGTGCTCCTTGAATATTTGATTTGTTTTCATTTGATTCCAGATTCTGATTGCCAGCACTCGTTATGTTGACATTCAGACTGCGTTCCTCTAAAGCTCATTAGCACTGGTCCCATCAACCGCTGGTGCACATGTAACGATAAACTTGCCTTGTTTCAGCCCTTCTCTCTTTCTTACCATTTACTAGGGTGTGCGTTACACTGATACGTTACGTTAATCTGCTATCAAGTTACTGGTAGTACGATTACCGGAAATTCAATGTATCAGCGCCTTGTTTCAAATCTCAACGCAGGAAACCCAAAGCACTTTATTGATTCATTTATTCATGTACAAATCCCAAAGCCGGGCTCCCTGTGCATACTGTAGCATATCATACCATACTTTTTTAAACTGTTAAGGGGTCTTTGAACATCCTCCTATAACCTAGATAAGTTACAAACCTCATATCAACATCCAACATTATAATCTTGGTGAGTTTGGGAGGAAAGATTTTATACAAAGCAGTGGAGATAAAGAATATTGGATTGTTGTAGTAGGAACGTGCAGAGCTGAATGATTCCTGGAAGAAAGAGAAGGATTATGTTAGACCACTGAACTCAACTTGTTAAAAAAAACTACATACGGGGGGTGGGG